CCTTCTGTCAAAGCATTGGTTTGTTTCACAGTGATTTAAATATAGTATAGGGAAAGCCTGACGTAGAATAGTAATTATGCAAATTAAGATGAAAATATTGCTACTTATTTTTATCATAGGCAAAACCGAAATGATCGTAACAGAAATGATCGTAACAGAAATGATCGTAACCGAAATGATCGTAACAGAAATGATCGTAACAGAAATGATCGTAAGATAACTAAAAATGGATAATTTCGATTGATGCTGTTTAACAAATACCACTAGTAAAATTGTATTTGTTTGATATTACCGATAATTAAAACCGAGTAATTGAAAACGACAACCGTTAGTTGCGCAACTGTTCGTATTTGCCCTCGATGAGAGCGTGCAAACAAATGGTGTACATTTCTGAAACGAACATACGTATAACCAAAAAAACAAGTACTATTTCACGCGTAACTGTGCTTCTCACATATGATACATAATGCACATAACAGTTTGTGTATTTCAACGTTTGAAAACAATAAAAGATGTGTTTATCAAAGCAGAACAATGAACCATGTCATAGCATAGGTCACCACCTGGTCGCATTCCCATTAATTACCACTGTCATACGACTCAAGCTATGTATACGATCCAATAATACAGCAATTTAGGAAGTAGATGTCGATGACTCACAAAATAGAACATCTCATCCAAGGCCATGGAATCAATTTAATTTCCAACATCACTTTATCCGCTGATATGATTCAATCGGAATCTCCATCAAAGTATTGATGGTTTACGCATCGCGTTACGCATCTAACAATAACTGAGTAAACTGGTGGAATTGTCCTTCTTTTCATTAGCAATTACCTATTGGTTGTAATTAGTGAAATAAATGCTTATGTCAGTCAAGTTTAACTCATGACAAGTCACTGTTAATGATTCTCTGTTGTGTTTTGATTCATTAACACACGATTATATGTTGTCCTTGTAACAACGTAGAACAATAACTATCGAAATCTGGTTAAGGGCGCGTAAAATCAACACTGTCGCCAATTAGACAAAACACACACCTAGTTTTAAAGAAATTGGAGAAGGCATAACTGAGCATTGATTGTCGATATGTTCGAATTCTGTGAATGTAAACATGTAAAACGTATCTAGGAAACAAGAAGAGGCGCATGAGAAAAAAAAGATGGCGTGCACCAGAAATTCGAAATATCAATGCTAAGTTTGAATAAAATCGGACTACGCATGCATTGGAAATGGTTTAGGACATATTTGAATGTTTTGATTTTTGGTAAATGATTCAAGACACATGTCGCCAGTGTGCCATATTGAGTCACAACAAATAAAATTGATCTGAAAAACATTGGCCAGGAAAATTATGGATGCGATTATGATTATGTCTTATCCGACTTTGTCTCCGTATTCCAGATTTTTTTATTTTCATCTTTCAAAAAGTAAGAGATTTTCAAAAGGCGAAATTTGCATTTTCCTAATTGCAATTTTGTTTGCTGATTGGTTAGTTACGTAACATGTGATTCAAATACCATGTCGTATTTTCATTGGTTAAAAAATCATCTGTGGATGTGGTATAAATGATTGATGTCTGTAACTTGTTTCAGATGACAAATTTACAGTTATTTAACCAAAGCTATAACATTGGCTTCTGAGTTTATACTTGCTGCATATTTACATAGATTGGATGCTTTTATTTGTTCGTTTTATTTTACATTCATACAAAGCATACCACCGAGTGCAGAGCATTATTGAATCGGCCGATAATGGTAATCTAGTTTGGGAAGTCATTTTACTACGCTACATTGGCGATGAAGTGGGTACACGCTGGACATCACAACAACTCAAAAGAATGGACGGAATACATAATTATGTGGTTGTATTTGAAACCAAAAATGTATTTAATCTTTTACGTACGGTAAGTTTATTTATTTATTTATTTATTTATTTATTTATTTATTTATTTATTTATTTATTTATTTATTTATTTATTTATTTATTTATTTATTTATTTATTTATTTATTTATTTATTTATTTATTTATTTATTTATTTATTTATTTATTTATTTATTTATTTATTTATTTATTTATTTATTTAATTTTATTAGAGTCCAACTATCCTATTTCCACTGATTATGTGGTTTCCCTGATATGTTCCTCATTCTTCTATTAGTTTGTGTTCTTGAACTTGAGATGGAGTGTGGTTGTTTATTCAGGACTACCCAGGATGTTATTTCGTCTTTATTGAGAAAATAATCAACTCATGTAAGGTTCTGCCTGGTGAGCCGAGCCTAATCAGTGTATTTGTATACTGAAGAATGAATTATTTTTTAATATAGAAATGAATTTCTTATGCCCGATAATAGTTGATAAATAAACACACGAAATACCATGACCACGGCGAAACCTCAATCCAAGATTGAAATAGTGGCCATTTAAGTACGTGTAGTTTAATTTCTCATTTGGCGGAAGTCCAACATAGCGTATTCTATGTTCGGTGTATATACAATGTTTGTGAAAAGTTGAAATAAAGGTTACTTGCTTCATACCGGATATTGGCTCTCTCCTAGAGGTATCGCTGATTTATCAACAAAGTACTATCAGGATATCATACAGCGGAGTACGTGCTTTACTTCTGGGTCAGATCACACCTACGTCATCACCCAACTACGTATATTATGTGCTCATTTACATTTTTCATTCATTAACGTACATGGGTATGTCGCTAGTTCTGAGCATTTAATGAAGCGACAACAGTTTTGCCCTGTTTTATTTTCAATACGTGGCTATGTCATATTATTGCTACGCTCAATTTTTTTAACTGGTAATCTAGTGTATCCGGTACATACTTGATACCTGACCCATTTTCCAGTTCGCAATCCAATTTCCCTGCCTTTCTGCAGCAGACAGTCATTTTTTTGCTTCGCAGTGCTGAGCAGGTTCAATGAACTTTTACCTCTAGTGTCACCTAATTATTTTAATCTACGTTATTTTATAATGATATGTATTGATTTGCTGTAATTATGCTTATACCAGGCAGGTAACATGGGTATGCGGTCACGTGAATATCACTGGATCGTTCTTTATCAGGTAAGTACCCTCTACTGAGATTTTTTTTTATAAAGTTACACTTCATTAAAACTTCAATCACGGCTCCAGTGTCATGCAGATACGAGCACAGTAACGGTTAATTAAAATGTGTATACATCACTATTGTACATTTCCAGACCCCGAAAATTCACAATATAAAAACTTGTTTTTCATAGAAGGTTTACGGTGCAACTATTGAAACAGTATAACAGGTGATTAGTGTTATCTACACTTATGCCATGGTTTATTCAGTGGCGACGGTACGGGGGTGCAAAAATGTTGGGGGCGTTGCCCCTCTAAAATCAAGCGAATCCCCTAGTAAGGTCGCGCCTTCAGCGCAAGGTTGTTGAGCAGACCCCCCCCCCCCAGGCAAAATGTCGTGCCGCCGCCTCTGTTATTAAACGTATGTAGAAGACAACGATGTAGCTAAGCGGTATTGTTGTGATCTCGCCAGCTGACAGAAACGTGTGACACCCGGTTGAATCGGTACGCAAATGCTGTTATCAAACTGTCGTTACACGCGTTCGCTCATATACCCAACCATGTGACGCGGGCATATATGTGTCACCTTGACTGTGACTTGAATCAGAGATATGGTATGCACTTAATTAAAAATGTGAGATTAGCTGCGATATTTGCATATCTGTTTTGTAAACGGAAATATTTTAATTATAAATTAAAATAATTATATCAATATTTTTTGCAATCACTATACTCCTTGAAGACCAGTCATGAGTTTGCAGTCTCGAGGACTCGTGGATAACATGTGATTATTGTACTAAAATGTTAATGAATAGAAGAATGGAATTAGTAATTTGCATATTTGTTCCGCACGTGTTAAAACTCTCATCGTGTAACAGTTGTTGGACGCATCATTGAGATAACTAACCAAATTCATTATTACTATGATAATCCGGGTACATCACGTATGCATGTTTTACACAGATATGAAGACAAATATTTCTGAAGTTCATAATGAGTGGGTCACTTATAGTTGTTGTGAATCTAACGTTGTTGTCCGTGAGAAATAACGCTCGCTAACATCCATCCGTGGATGTCTTTACTTCGCAACAATGGTTGACATCACTTCTCAGGTGTATGCCTAGGGGTCAATATACTCTGATATGTTCATCATTCATTTGTTTCTCTATTATTTTCTATGTGCTCTTAGATCATGATTCCTTGATCATTGATTGCGAATTTGATTAGGTATTATAACATTTCCACATTCCAGGGAATGACAGACACCCAGCTGGAAAATGTGCCTAAGGCATTGGGTATTGTCATATTTGTCAGACAACAACCTCTCATCATAGAAACGAACGAAGAGGAGGTGAGAGGTCACAAAAAGAAGAAGAAAGATAGAATAAATAATGCAAGTGTAAGTAATTAATTTACAATTTATCTTTGTGTAAATTCTGTGGCATATAATGATATATAATAACGAGTGATATGTTCCTATAAGAAAATCACTAGGAAGGTCGTAATCACTTCATCTAAGGCCTTGTAACAGTAACCACGGTAACACAGTGTCCAATGATTGGTTAATCCGGCATTCCATTCTATTCATATGCAAATGTCGCCGTGTTTGCAAAGT